AATGGAGAAAGACAGAAATAACCAGCATCATTATGAAAGCCGGAAAAAAGAAACTACCTCAACAAAACCATCTTCTTACCGAGCTCCGAATTCGGAGAACACAAGGTCTAGATCACGCAATCAAACGCAGGCATTTTGTTGGCGCTGCAAAAGTAACCATTCACCTGCTACCTGCCCACACAATATTCAGCATCGTACCTTTTCACCATCTATCTCTGAAAATCAACCGACTCAACCGATGACTACAGGAATTCCTATTACCTTTGGACCTCCAGAAACCCGTACTACTGTTTCTACCTATAGCAGCCCATTACCGTCACAACTATTAGTATCATTCAACGTTGGATCTTGGAAAGGAACAGGAATTCTCAACACTGGTTCTTCATTCACCCTCATCAATGAGAATGTATGGTCAAAAATAAACAAAAACACGAACTCTTGGGAAAGAGGACACCTATACTTGGCCAATGGTAGAAGTCAACAACCACTTGGATGGAGCGACTTGACCATTAAAAACTCTCAGCCAATGAGAGACCAGCGAAGGAGGAGGGGCCGGTTCCTGCCTTCTGACTAGTGTTAAAATGTCAGCTATGCTGCTAGTTTTAAGTGTATAGAGCTCAGAAAGATAAGAAACAGCAGTATGTTATAGGCTCAATATTAGGCTTTTCACATTCATTCCATAAGACTTGTTTGGGGATATACTTATGCACTTGTGTTACCATGGTAACAGATAACGCATTTAAAATTGAATAAAAGATTCCTGAGACCAAACTGGTCAATTTGATGTGCCATATGAGTGGGTGCTGGATCCTGCTTGGACAGAAAATGGATGAACACTCTCAACCAATCAGAGAGCAGCACTGTTTTCCCGCCTTTTCCCCTGGCTGTACTCCTGTTAAAGAGAGAAGCCTTTAAATCTGTCCTTCAGAAGTGAAATTGGACCTGTCAAACTTCTCATCACCATTCAAAAAGTACTGCACCGATTTGAAAAATTAAAAAAGCGTGAGCGGCAGAAGGCTTTGATGATCATCTGTGTGTATTTTTATGTGCCTACCATGAATTGTCTAGAAGCTATGACAAGAACATTTTAGCTGTCTGAAGCCGATCAGAGGAGAAAATCTCTGATCCTTTAACATGGGTTTCAATGAGGGAAAAGCTGGGTCTCTCCTCTTTCTGAGGCTTGTAGCGAAAGAACGGTAACACTTACAGATAAAATGAAACCCATTCTGAAAAGCTGCCAAAAATTCCTACTTTTTGAGTTATAATTTGTTTTGGTAGTCCAAACGGTCTGGGGGTAGTAAAGAGTTGTTCACAGAAGATGTGAAGTTCAAAAGTTAGGAATCTTCAGTTTAGAGCGGGGAGAGACATTTTTTTTTATTTGAATTTTCTCAAACAAATGAACCGTACGACCACAATGTTTGGAGTACAGTCATGACTTATAGCTCAAAACGAAGGTATATTCGTTAGCTGTAAGCCAGCGTGTGTCTCATTTCAATCGGACCTACGGTTCTCTCGGGACAACGCCGGAAATGGAGCAAGGGAGGGTCACTGCTCCTATCTTTCTCCATTATAACTTTTGTGAAATTTTCTGAAAATTTCAAGTCGTACCTCAACTTCTACCTGCGATTTTAGAAAAACCGTAAAAGATATCAAAAAGCCTCTTTAATATGTTAAACAGGAAAGTCTTGTGAGTTTGTTAAACTTTTAATGAAGTCTCTGAGTTAAAAGGAACCCAATAGAGTTTTAGGTCAAAAAAGTGATAGGAATTTGCTGAAAATTGACAATTCCATTCATTTCAATGGGAAAATTTTCGCTGAAAAAGCTTAATAACTCAAAAAATTTTAGATATCAATGCCAAAAGTAATAGCTGGAAAGAGCTTAACGAGTTGAACGTTTTGATATAAAATTGTTGAAATAGCTCAAAATTTGAAGGAGTAGAAAAGGTTCGTACAGTGTACGGAAGCAGAATAAGAAGAAAACAGGAAAACAATACAGCATTCAAACTATTACAGTTTTTCTCAGTTGCTTTGGTGCATTTCTCACAACAGAACTGATCTCTGCACCACTACTAAGGCTTTTCTCAAAACAATTAGTGCAAACTGCAAAACATGGTGGATAACTTGCAAAAGTGAGTCGCTTTATCAAAAAGAAAAGTCAGTTGCTCAAAATAAGTAGTCAATGCTTCAAAAGCAAGTTCCTTAATCAAAACAGATAATATATTCATCAAAAGCAAGTACTTATATCAATCCAAGTGTCAGGGCTGTCACAATTACAAGTCATTACACCAGCACCTTTGGTCACAAAATCAAATGGTTTGAACATGTTCTCATTGTGACGGATTTCTTTGTAGGTCAAGTCTGGACAGCATGCATGGCATGTTGAAAACCATAAAATGTAAAGGAAAATCAAGACACTTCATGTGCACTCTTGATAATATTTAATTGAAACTGTTCACAGCATTGTGCAACTGGGGAAAAACAGTAAAACAAACATTTTACAGCAAACATAAACTCACTTAGACAGTAAATCTTACTGCAGTAGTTATGAAACAAAAAAACTGAACAGACACTGCTGCATATCAGTCACTGATATCTAGACGCTCCCGTCTGTCTGCCCACATATTTTCATCAACATCACAGCGAACGTCAGCTCTATCGATGCATCGGGGAAAGTATCTTCTGGAGTGTCGAATCCATCCTCTGCAGGACTCTGCTGTGATGTCATCACAAGCTGCATCCATAGCTGCTAGCAGGGCCATTTGGGTATGTGGATGCCTGTCATATACCTTCCACCTCCAGGAAGAGAAAAACTCCTCAATTGGATTGGAGTGTAAGGAGGAAGAAACTCCATAAGCATCCTGTCGTGTGCTGCAAACCACTGCCTGACTACAGCAGAGTGATGGAAGCTAACATTATCCCAAACCACTACATACATTGTCCGATTGTCACCAGGACACACACCAATTTTCATTAGTGTGAGATAAGGTTCACCTGAGAAAAGTCATTTATGGAGATTTCCATGGAAACTCCTTAAAAATAGGGTTTTCAAAATGGGTGTACAATGTGTTCAACAGGTTTGAGTGCAATGACACGAGCAATGATATGAAGACTATTAGTTGTAAGGACAATGACTATTCAGCCGGTACAAGTATAAATAATTGTGACATTCATGATAACAGTAAGGAGATAGTGATGCATAGCAAGTCAAAAGTGACCATTCTTTAGACGTTTGTACTCACTCAACTGCTTCATGTCCAAAGGCATTTGTCTTTGGATGAAATGAACATGAAACCACCACTAGGTTGTGCCAAAACGACTACACGTTGTGGAGGTTGAACCAACTGTTGTGCAAAGTTTAATTCTGTTGTGAGAAATGCACCAAAGCAACTGAGAAAAACTGTAAATTAAATATTAATCTTTGGATTAAATATAGAGCAAGACAGTTGGTGTCTGAACTTCTATCGATTGTATAAATATCCTGGATATTTAGACATGGTATAAGTTCATATGCTAATTTGTTGATCTTTCTCAGGATCTAACAAAGCTGATAGCAAACAGCGTTACATCTAGTATGTGGATTGTCAACGCTACACAAATAAAAATACCATGAAATCTCATGAGATATTACGAGATCTGGTTAACTTTATTAGGTTCTAATAAGGTTATTACCTGCTTTTTTATAGCGCCTCCCTGGGGTGTGAGGGTTAGGGTGAATGATTACTGACCACCACCATGTTGGCTAATTCCAGTAGGCCTAAATTCCTCCAATGATTAGAAGGTTTATTAAAGTCAACCCAGTGGCTCATGGTTCTGCTAACAGGATTACTGGCTCCACTCCAACAGCTGATGTCAGCGTTGTGAGTAAAGATCTGACTAAATGTGTAAAGGTTCGGAGTTGGAGGTGGCTCTAGATTAATATCAATAACACTTACAGCCTCTTTATGTGTTTGCTAATGTTGACTAGCTGTGGTGGCCATCGTGTGTCAGGCTGACTCCACAAGTTAATCAGTTATAGAAGAAAACACACACACACACACACACACACACACACACACACACAGAGGCAGAGTGTAGCTGTAGACATCGGACAGAAGCACACTACTCTCTAGCGGTGGGTCCCAGAGGGTGCGCCTGCAGGAGGGTGCCCAAGTCATCACCAGGAACCTTTCCCTCAGTATTCTCCTGAAATCTGGGCTTTTGTTAAGCATGCTTCATTATCTCACCTGGCTAAGAATCTGTAGGACCGCATAAAACAAAACACACCACATTTCTTTAAGTTCAAAGTTCATTTCAACACAAATCAGGAATACAAGTGTGCAGCCTTAATTAAGGATAAGCCTCTCTAACCAGCATATCTACACTGAGCTAATGTCCTCATGTGTGGACGGTCGAACATCCAGCAGGTGTTATGCTGTGTGAAAGGTTTACATAGGTGTGATGATGTTTGACAGGAAGGATCTTACTCTGTGACCACACTTAGACATCAATAATGCTTACAGATGAACCTGCAAAAAGACGGCAGGTCTAAATCCTTATCTCCCAGAGGACCCGGCGTTGATTTAAAAAAGGAGGGGATCCAAATGGCTTGAGTGACGGAGGAATGTACGGTGAAACAATCACATTTAGATAGAGCTCTACCAGCAGGTTGTGTGTTACTGTAACAGGGCTGGATGTGTGGTGGAAGCCAGAGGTGTTCCCCATGACCATCTGGCTTCACATTAGCAACACTTTACAATAAGAGTCCTTTAATTAACGTTACGTAGTGCGTTATTAAGCATTCATAAACTATGAAAGAAAGAAAGAAAGAAAGAAAGAAAGAAAGAAAGAAAACTAACTTTTATATAGCGCCTCTCAAGATAATTGATAACTACTTAACATTAATGTGAAGCAGACACATTTATTGGTGGTCAGAGTTGATTTGTCTGCTTTTCATGACAGCACCCGAATGCATCACAGGGCCGCGCCCATTTCTATTGTATGGCTTCTGATTGGTCGCTGCTTACGTTCGTCACGTTCTGAGCGTGGCTGGCTGCCTCGCAGAGAAGGGAGCGGAGTCGGAGGGTGCACATTTAAATACAGCGAGTTCCAGGTTGTAGTCGGCCCCAACGCACAAGCTGGTGAGAAGCTGCGGTTGTTTCGTTTTTTAACGTTTATTTATGACGCGGTGGTTTAACGGGACTTGCTCTTTGGCGCATGAATTACAGATTCACGCGCTGAAGAGCTTTGTGGTGGGATGATTCCTAAGATATCGCGTTATTACGGGAGCGTGAACATTTCTGGCTAGCTGTAATCGCGTAATGCAACAGTGGAACGTAAAATAGCACGTGGAATTATCGATGCTGTTATTTGTGTGTAATAACGCGTGTTAAGTATTTTATAACGTAGTTTTATAACAACACCAGTTATATGGTTGTGAAAACAACTGTGTTGTTTTAGCTAGCTTAGCAACACTATGCTAATGTCGTGACTCTTGGTGTTTGGAGGAAATCTTTCGACTGTTTGCTCAAAGTAGCTTAATGAAGGAATTAAACCACGAAGCGGAGCCGCGAAGGTCCAGACACAGAGGCGGTTCTGTCCGATTCTGGCTGGATCGGTCGTCCCCCACCGGCAGCACATGGCATCTGTTTGGTTTGTGTTCGTGTCGCTAAAGGCAGCAGAAGAACAACGTACAGGTGTCTACCTGAAGGACCAAACCCACCTTTTGAGCGCTTTCATTATCTGCTGCGCTGAAAATAACCATCATAGATGGAAGGTTCAAGAAATAAAACAAACTAGACGTGTCGTTGAAGTAGTTAGAATGGTGGATTTTCAAAATAAAAGCGCGTTTCCTGTTGCTGGTTTGCATATATTTGTTACACAAACTAGTTTTTGCATGAGTCGTTTATAAGCTGCGTGGGTATCCCACAGTCCTGCAGTTTTAGTGCTGGGAGTTCCATCATCCTGTGCCCTGCAGGCCTGGCATTGGGGGGGGGACTAGACAGCAGTGACACAGAGTCCTGCAACAGCTTAACGCCCATGAAGGCAACAACTGCAATCCAGCATGTAGGAAAATGTTACGAGTCTCTCAGGTCCCTGTGGAGCAAATGTTCCCCCATTCTCCTATATTAGAGGGTTTTCTAGCAGGAGCAGCACGTTTAAGGTCAAAGGTCAGCCGTTCTGCTAGGGAGCAGAATTGATGGTTATAGCAGGTGTTGCAGCAGAGCATCCCCAGACCATTACACCACCACCACCATGTCTGACTGATGGTTAGTGACTCCAGACGGAACAGAACGCTCTCCGTCCAGATGGTTCTACTCCAGACTCATCAGTTCCAGCTGTGTTTGGGATCATCAGGATGTTTGTGAGGAAATGTCAGACGGGTCTTTGTGTTCTGTTTGTGACCTCTGACCTTAACCAAGTCCAGCCTGCAGAGCTCTGGATGGGTTGGGTGCTTTTCTTCTTGAATTTCTGTAGAACGGGACAGGATGTGGTGCTTTTGGAGATCCTTTAGCCTGCTTCATGTTGCCAAACAAGTTCTTAATCCTTTCTTCTTCCTCTGTTTTACCAAGATGGCCACTGTGCGTCGGTCCTTGACTGTAAAAAGTTTTATTCCTGTGTTGTTGCGGTTGCAGGACTCTAGAAGTGGTTTTTACTAGAGGGACGTGGTTTTTATGATACCGTTGTTCTCGTAAACCAAGGCTTCGTTTAAAAACGTGTAACAGAATTCTGTAAGGAGGAAATGATGTGCGTCTGGTCTCTGGACCAACATGGTGGTGTTTCCTGTTCCTTTTCTGTCTGAACTGTGAGAGGCGACTGCTGCGTTTGGAAGGAAGTAACAGCTGCTTGGTTCCTGCAGGAAGGTCTCAGTGCAGCGTGGGTGCCAAGGGATCCCCTGCCTGAGTGCGGCGAGCGCGGCGGCCAACACCCCACAGACATGAACCACACCAAGGGTGGCTTGGTCATCTTCACTGCCAACTCGCACCCCTCCAGCCGCGAGCTTGGGAAGCGGATCTCTGAGTGAGTACAGGAAACCGCTGCAGGGGTCTGCACCCTGCTTCCACGTGGGTCACGGTTATTAAGATCATCCTGAAGTCCGCGTGGTTGCTCCTGTTTCCTCTGAGTTGTGTTTATTTTAGACGTAATTGTAATAATCTCAGATGAAACGAAGCAGAATATCTTATTTACGCCTATTAATGGAAAGGGCTCAGTGACAGGTCATCAGCTGTTTCCCACACATGCTCGTTCTGCTGCAGCTGCAACAGGAGCTTCTGGGATTTAATGCAAAGCTTTTGTGACACCAGCGTCCCGAAGGTAGCCGGCAGCCTTCCGTGATCGGGTTTAAACCAAGACATGATGATGGGAAGTGTAGTTATCGCTGAAAATATGGCAAAAGAATCTTATAACAGTTTATTAGTGTTTTATCACAAGTTCTCAGACACTTTCTCAGGTGTCTGAATGTAAACACCAGGAAGTGGTTCTCAATTATCCGTCTGGATTAGGGCTGAACGATCTATCGTTTTTGAACCGAAATGGCCATTTCAAACAGCACCATCACCTGACCGTAAAGCTGCGTTTCTTTAGTGGCTCTGACTGATCCAGGATCTTTTGTGTCAACGTTTTTTTACATCCAGGGTTTCCCCCTTAGGGGAGGCGGGTGGGGCTTGGATTAGGGTTAGCTCAGAAGGTGTAGGTGTGTGAGATGTGTCGTTGGCTCAAGCTAGGCTGGGAACCCTAACCCTGTAAACCCGTCCATGAGTGAGGAGGCTGTAACACGTGCTTTCTGTCATCCTCTCCTTCTCAGGCGTATGGGGGTGGAGCTTGGCAAAGCGCAGGTGTACCAGGAAGCCAACAGAGGTACGATGGCGACGGCCACACGTCTGTTTTTAGCCAGAAGGCAAACGATGAGCAGAGAAACCCCGTTGATCTTTAAAGTAAAGCTTTAAAGATCAACGGGGTTTGCACGAGAAACACTGAGTCTGGTCTTATCGGTCTGCTCGGTGGTAAGCACGGGGCTTGATTCTGTCCTCTGGTTGAGACGACCTTTGACCTGCAGTATCAGTTCTGTTAGAGCATCACACAGTTGCTGCTCGACGTTATCTAACTGTGCTGATACAGGTCGGTCTAGTCAGAGGCCAGAGGGCAGCACGATAACTGTTAAAGCTGCTGCCGGTGGCTTGTTAGGGTCGCCATGGCAACCACACAATCTGACAGCAACCTTAGTCGGCCTGTTGTTGTCTGTGAGAGTTTTTGCCGCATTGAAGGACGTACGTCCACCAGACGTCTCTGTTCCTGTCTCAGTTGTTATAGAGAACCGGTTTCGTGGTGAAAATGGATCAGAACCACAACCAGGAAGTAGTGGCAGAGGTGATGATGATGATGATGTCATTAGTCTGTGGGACAGCTTTCCTGTGGCTGTGGGAGGACTGTGTTGGGGGGGGGCTTCACTGGCTTTTCCACATCAGTGTGTACTCGTGATGCTGACTCAGCAGTTTTTGCTTCTATTTTCATTTCCTGTTGTCTCCATAGAAACGCGGGTCCAGATCCAGGAGTCAATTCGAGGCAAAGATGTGTTTGTTATCCAGACGGTGTCCAAGTGAGCACACACACACACGCACACACACACACACACACACACACACACACACACACGCACACACACACACACACACACACACACACACACACACACAGTTGAGTTTGTCTTCACCGCTGTGCTCCCTCTCCTCAGAGACGTGAACACCACCATCATGGAGATGCTGATCATGGTGTATGCCTGCAGGACGTCGTGTGCCCGCAGCATCACCGGCGTCCTCCCCTACTTCCCCTACAGCAAGCAGTGTAAGATGAGGAAGAGGGGCTCCATTGTCTCCAAGCTCATCGCCTCCATGATGTGTAAAGCTGGTGAGGAGGAGCCCGTCGGACGTCTCGTAGACGCTGGACACAATCGTGACGCAGTCTGAATGTGTGCAGGTCTCACCCACCTGATCACCATGGACCTCCACCAGAAGGAGATCCAGGGCTTCTTCAACATTCCTGTGGACAATCTCAGAGCATCTCCGTTCCTGCTTCAGTACATCCAGGAGGAGGTCGGGTTTCCTCTTAAAGCTTCTGTCAAACCCTGATTTAAGCTAAGTTCTGATCCAAAGCTGCATCTGACCAGAGGGTAGTCCTGTCAGCAGAGCTCCGCCGCCAACAGGCGGTCCGATGTCTCACGAGCTCATCGTTTCATTCACAGTAAATATAAAATATCCCAAACCCGGATGGATCAGAAATGCTGACCAACGTGGTGGTCGTCTCTCACGCACGCACACACACATGCACGCATACACACATACACACGCGCACACACACGCATGCATACGTGCACACGCATACAAACACACATGCATACACACACACACATACATGCGCACACATACACGCATGCACACACATGCATACACGTGCACACACACGCATGCATACACATACACACACGTGTGCACACACGCATACATGCGCACACATACACGCATGCACAAACACGCATGCGCACACACACACGCATACATGCGCATACATACACGCATGCACACACACGCATGCACACACACGCATACATGCACATACATACACGCATGCACACACATACACACGCATACATACACGCACACTAGGGCTGGGCGATATGACAAAACTAGAATATCACGATTTTTCCAATATTTTATCACGATTTTTTATCCATGAATAGCATAACTTCAATTGCGTATTAAAGAAGAGAAACATTGAATAAACAAACATTTATTCATATTAGGGATAATCAGCACAGTGCTAACACACTTATATTTTAAACTCACACCAGAGATGATAAAAGTCCTGAGAGAAACAATTACAAAAATCTGTTTTTCTCGTTTTTCAAGTAACTTAACATAAATTAAAATGGTAAACATATTTAAAGTGCAAACATGTCAATCACAAACGTATTGTACAAACATGAACTTGTTCAAAATACTATGTAGCTCCCAGTTGCTCATGTAGTGGATAGTTAAGCTCAAATACGGCTCTGATGTGCGGCTGGACCAGAGATCGCTTGTGGTAGCAAATAACTGCACATTCTGAATATTTTCTTCAACAAGTCTCTAAATAAAGTAAAATTTTCCAGTGCAGATTGGAGACAACCCATAGAAGCACTGATTGGATCTCATTTCAGAGAAAAATAGAACAGGTTAGATGCACCTAATGAATAAAATTTCTAACAAACTCAGGAATCTTTCTTTGCTTCACTGTTCTGGTGCTGAGAATATCACTCATGCGGATCAAAGGAGATCCACAGATGAATGCACCTCTTATTTATTATTTGGAGACTACATTTACTGCAGCTGGCAGAGGCAGAGATTGTTTCTATTGATACACGAATTTACAGAATCATTTTAAATGTTAATAGGGGAAGATTGCAGGAGGGAGCGGTAAAATACAGGGGGTCCCAGCAAAAACAAGAAACTACGAGTCTGATGAAACCCGCTGGTTTTCCATCAGGCAGTCACGGGGCAGCTCCAACGACCCAGTGACCGAGCTCAGTCCGGTACCGACACCGGCTCGGCAGAGGGTGGACGAGCCGAGGCGACGTCGTGCTCTGCTTAAGAAGCGGTGTTATTTTCCTGCTTCAGAAGAAGCGTCCAACGTGTTTTTACGCTTTCTCCGAGACATGTCACGTCGCTAAGTAGTTAGCGCCGCGCGCTAAGGAAACCCTGCGTTCCTCTTCGGAACGAAAACCTCGTTGTCGCTCAGCCGCGGCGAAGCCATGTTTGTTCACACACAGCTGAAAACAAGCGGGGCACTAATATATTACTATGACTCACTCTGATTGGTTAAGGGTCAAACAAAGGCGTGTCATTCGCCTGGGGTAAGCTCCCTTTTCATTCAGAGGCAGAAATTCAGCAGCAGAGCTGTGAATCGTGATAAAACGGTCTCTCAAAAATGACAGACCGTCAGATGTGTAGATCGTAAAACGGTCTAAAATCGTTATATCGCCCAGCCCTAACGCACACACACGCATACACACATGCACACGCATACAAACACACATGCATACACGCGCACACACGCATACATGCGCACACATACACGCATGCATACACACCCACGCATGCATACACACCCACACATACACGCATGCATACACACCCACGCATGCATACACACCCACACATACACGCACGCACATGTATACATGCGCACACATACACGCATACATGCGCACGCATACACGCGCACACACACATACGCATACACATGCACACACGCGCGCACACACACGGTCTTCTGCATCACTGAATGAGTCGGGACATTGGTTGCAGGTCCTTCCCTCCTGGTTGGAGCTGGGTTTGTGTGGAATGTCTGGTTGTCATTGGATCGTGGGCGGGTCAGAGCCTTCTGCAGGACGCGCGCACACGCATACACACACAGCACTCGTCAGAGAGAAAAAGCAGCTAAACCTCCCGATCATCCGGGGAGCAGACGGCTTGTGTCTTTTTGTTTTTGTTTATCGTCGAGTGTACGCTAGCTGGTGCTAACTACACTAGCCGATGCTAACAAAGTTATCCGGTGCTAACTAAGTTAGCTGGTTCTAACTAAGCTAGTCGGTGCTAACAATGCTAGCTGGTGCTAACTACACTAGCCAGTGCTAACCAAGTTATCCGGTGCTAACAACACTAGCTGGTGCTAACTAAGCTAGTCGGTGCTAACAACGCTAGCTGGTGCCAACTAAGCTAGCCAGTGGAGGTTTTTCTGGGGAACCTGGTTTCAGCTGCAGCTCTGATCAGTTCCTCTGAACCTGCAGATTCCAGACTACAGAAACGCCGTAATCGTTGCCAAATCTCCCGCTTCGGCCAAAAGGTGGGTTCTCTTTAGTTGCACTGTATCTGGACGAGTAAAGGATAACCAGGTGAGTCTTCTGCCCGGCCGTGCAGGGCTCAGTCGTTCGCCGAGCGGCTGCGTCTGGGGATCGCCGTGATCCACGGAGAAGCTCAGGACGCAGAGTCGGACCAGGTAGACGGACGACATTCTCCCCCCACCGTCAAGACGACCGGAGCCATCCACCCCAGCATGGAGATACCACGTAAGGCGGCTCCTACAGCAATTAGCCTGCTGGGGCGGTCCTCTGAGTGACCAGACTTCTTCTTGTGTCTGCAGTGCTGATCCCTAAAGAGAAGCCTCCCATCAACGTGGTTGGAGACGTCGGAGGACGCATCGCCATCATCGTGGTGAGTTCCACTGAGACCAGCTCCAGACCAGTTGGGCTCACGCAGCGGTAACCAGAAGGACGTTCTTGCAGGATGACATCATCGATGACGTGGACAGCTTTGTGGCAGCAGCAGAGACACTGAAGGAGAGAGGAGCCTACAAGATCTTCGTCATGGCGACGCACGGCCTCCTGTCCTCCGACGCCCCCAGGTTCATCGAGGAGTCGGCCATCGATGAGGTGAGACAGCCGTCCTGCTGGTGGAACGCTGCTCTGTCCTCATCTGACCTGCCGATGACCTCTCCCCCCCTCAGGTGGTGGTGACCAACACCATCCCCCACGAGCTGCAGAAGCTCCAGTGTCCAAAAATCAAGACGGTGGACATCAGCATGATCCTGTCTGAGGCCATCCGCCGCATCC